CCCCCCGACCCCCACTTTTCCCACCCCCCCAGCTGCAGGGAACGCCTTCTGCCAGGCAGCACAGCTCCACCTGCAGCTGCAGAGCAAGCACGACTCAGCCACCAACTTTGTGGACGCAGGCAATGCCTTCAAGAAGGCGGACCCCCAGGGTGAGCACAACTGGGGGGGTCCTGGGGGGGGTCCTGGGTGGGGGGGAGCACTGGGAGTCCATTTCCTGGTGGCAATGAGGCTTCTTTGGGATGCTGGGGAGGCACTGGGGGGGTTGTAGGAGATGCTGGGTGGGTTCTTGTGGGTTCCTGTGGGTCCTGTGGGATGCTGAGGAGGTTTGGGTGTCCTGTGGGGTTCCTGGGGGGGGGCTGGGTGTTCCTTGGGATGCTGGGGGGGCACCAGTGACCCCGCGGGTCAGTTTGGGTCGTTTTCAGAGAAGATAACGAAGGAGAAAACATCGTTAATCCCACGGAGGATTTGTTTAATCTCCCAGAGATCCGCATCCCCATCATCCGCCGTGTGCTGTGCTCTCCTTTCCCTTCCCCGAGCGCTGGGGGGGGCCCTCATCCCACCCCCTCCCCCAACACCACCGACCTGAGACCCAAAGGAAGGGCGGTAGGGGGTGGTGCAGAGAAACGTCCCCTTTTATTTTGGGGGACAACGCCGTCCCCTTCCATTCTGTAGTGATCCTTCCTCTGCCCCACGGCGCGTGGGGCCGCAGCGCCGCAGCTCAGGGCTCCGTGGCTGACACAATGTTTTTTCCTTTTTCCAGAGGCCATTAACTGCTTGATCCGGGCCATTGAGATCTACACAGACATGGTGAGGGGTCCCCCCACCCCCAGGGGTTCCGGCGTTGCCGTCCCGGCGCGCCGTGCCGGTGCTGAACGTGGCTCTGCCCGCAGGGCCGCTTCACCATCGCTGCCAAACACCACATCTCCATTGCTGAGATCTACGAGAGCGAGCTGGTGGACATTGAGAAGGTGATTGGGGGGGGTGGGAGGGGCCTTCCACCCCAACTGGTGCAGGGTTCTGTGGTTCTGTGATCTGCAAGGACCTTTCCAACCAACCGGTGTAGGGTTCTGTGGTTCTGTGATCTGCAAGGACCTTTCCAACCAACCGGTGTAGGGTTCTGTGGTTCTGTGACCTGCAAGGACCTTTCCAACCCAACCGGTGCAGGGTTCTGTGGTTCTGTGATCTGCAAGGACCTTTCCAATGCAGTCAGTGTAGGGCTCCATGGTGCTGTAATCTTTAAGGTCCTTTCCAATGCACTCAAGCGTAGAATTCCCCGGTTCTATGATCTTTAAGGACCCTTCCAACCCAACAAGTGTAGGTTTCCATGGTTTTGTGATCTTTAAGGACCCTTCCAACCCAGCCATTGTAGGATTCTGTGGTTCCGTGCCCTGTAAGGACTCTCCCAGCCCCACCCACTCTCCGATTTCACGGCTCTGTGATCTTGAAGGACCTTCCCAACCCAGCCGTGGCTCCGTGGGGTTCTTTTCCCCACGGGCAGGAATGAGTTAAACCCAGTTAATTACGAAGGTAACGAGTTCCCACATCCTGCACAGGACCTCCCTGGCTGCCGCCCCACGGCGTTCAGCCCCGGGCAAATTCCCAGGCTGCATCAGATGCTGCTTCACCTCCCGCCCCTCCTCTTCCCCCCCCCCCCCCCCCCCCCCCCCCCAGGCTCACAGATGGCGGCGGATGCGCGGGGGCGAAGGCAGCAGCGCAGGCTCCGTGCTCAGCTCCACGTCCCCAAATAGATCTCCACATTTATTATTTTTATAGACACAAATATCTTTT